CAGTCGATAGAGACGTCCAAGTCCCGACCGAAGACACCACATCATCACCTGTTTCACTCGGACTCCCCTCTCTCTCTCTCTCGCTGTCTCTTCAGTCTCTCTCCCATGGTTATTTTTGAGAGAGAGATAAAAAAAAAGTTTCAACCCCTTGCGACAATAATACAGGAGGGAGGTGTTAAGATGTTCACACCTTTTTTGCACGGCATCAAGTCCGCACCAAGCCACCCATCATTTATCTTTAAAACTGCTCATGGTGTTTTCGTTTGTTGTCCTTCACCGCACCTCCGATTTACACGGTTGGCTGCGTACGGCGCAAAAAGAAGTTCAGCGCATATTTATATTCAGTTTCATTTATTAGGTACTGGCTGCACTACCCGGGACTTGGATTCACCACGCCCGGCCGCCTTTGTCTCCCCAGTGGCGATGTTCACACACCACTTATTCGTTTTGAGGCTGAGTCGACATAGGGGAGGCCCAGGACCGGTTCAAATAATCGCCACAGGTGGTGGCCGTGAGCGGGAATCGAACTCGGGTCGCCGGGTTCGTAGCGCGGCGTAGCGCTAACCGCTACACCACAATGCGTTACGCTTCCACGTGCGCGGGTCACGTGACAGATTTGACGTCACAGCTCACTTGCCGTGCAAAATAAAATCAATGCATTATTGAGCTCCCCCCCCAAAAAATAAAAAAAACCCACAAAAGTGTATTTTTATAATTTTTGCATGGTGTACAGCCTGGAAAGTACCCGCATGGCAAATTTCAACCTTGTTCCATGTCGGTAAGTACACTAAACATTTTGAACAAACACACGCATTCACGACCTTGTGAGCCCATGCGGCTCTTGACTCGGCGCTCTGAAGCCCATCGTTGAAGGGCGCCTTTCGCATCTCATGAGTAGCAGCAGTAGCAGCATGATCATCATTCTTATTGAACGCATCTGTCAGTTTCACGCACATTGCTTCGCGAGCGATCCCGACTCGGCTGACGGAGGGCACTTGCGCGTGGAGGCCTCTTGCAGAGGTTTTTGACCTCGGCCGTAAAATAAAACTTCGGTTGAAATTATACGGCTCCTGTGGCTGATGAGATGTATGTAATAAGCGCGTGTGTGTGTGTGTTTTTAAAAAAAACATATCGTTTATTTTGAATGTGGAAGCACAAATATGCGGTAAGACGTTAAGTATTATCATCATTATTCATCATCATCATTATTATTCATCGTTCTGTCTTTGGTTTTTCATTATCATCATCATCATTATTCATCATTCTCTCTTTGGTTTTTTCATCATCATCATTATTATTCATCATTCTCTCTTTGGTTTTTTCATCATCATCATCATTATTCATCCGATGTCGCCACCTCGTGCCGACTGCCGGTACAATCTCTCGGATTTTGCGGGCCACAATTTCGGCGGCCCTGCTCCATGCGATTCGCGATTCGGGGACACACGCTGCTGCTGCTGCTGCTGTTGGCTGCTGCTGCTGTTGCTGTATAACGGTGGCTGCAAAAACGAGACGCAATGGAAACAATACAAACGAGACAACAACAACAACTCTAGATTTTGAAGCTCTCGTGACTGCAAGGATCCATCACACTCTTTGGTTCTATTCGGTAAAGTCACGTAGGTAAAAAAATAAAATAACAAAACATCGCGACGTTTCGGCCACAACACAAGTGGTCTTCATCAGGTGAAGGGACCGGACTGTCCAGAGGACAGCGTTGTAGTGAAGACAGTCAAGCCCAGGTCGCGTCCTTTAAGCTTTGTGAGAGGAAACAATTAACGCCTTGACAAAGGAATTAGCATAACAATGATGTACTGGACCGACACGGTTAGGGTGGTGGGGGGTGGGGGAGTTTACATAATGTTGATGTGAAGGCAAATAAGCTGCTGTCAAAAGTTTGGAATACCACTACTTGAATAAATATACTGTGCCATTGAAAATTAGTTTAATGTTTGGTTTGATTTGGAACATCTTCTTTGGTTCTTTCGGTAAAGTCACGTAGAGTGAGAATAAAATAATAAATTGATAAAATAAAATAACATAATAAAATTCTCACGACGTTTCGGCCACAACACAAGCGGCCTTCATCAGGTGATGGGTGATGGTGATGAAGGCCGCTTGTGTTGTGGCCGAAACGTCGTGAGAATTTTATTGTGTTATTTTATTTTATCAATTTATCATTTTATTCTCATTCTACGTGACTTTACCGAAAGAACCAAAGAAGGTTAATCCTTGCAGTCACGAAAGCTTTAAATCGTGATTTAGAACATCTTTCCAACAACAACAACAACAAACAAATCGGTTCTTTAATCGCAATCCAAATCGTGCGGCGAATCGGATCGCGAGAATCCCCGCACGTTGCGGGCAGGAACCGGGCAAATTTATTGATGGGGCGAACCGTTCCCTGTGATTTGCGGCCACGGTACAATCGTCGTCGTCGTCTTCTTCGATATAATATAAAATAAAACGACAGAGTTTTAGAAACTCCTGCCTTTCTTACACATTGACTAGGGTACTCTTAGGAGCTACGCATTCCTGTTTTGGGTGCAGCATCAATTGCGTTTGTATATACCAGTTTGCCATGTGATTTAAAATGCTTGCCACAATAACTGCTGATGCCTCACTCATGTTGCTGGGCTCACCTTCAACCCGGTTTTTTTTATTTTTCCGCCCTGCAATACTATGCGGCATTACCAGTCAATCGAGATACAATTGAATAATGAATATAAATGTCATTTTCCTCCATCCACGACAGTAGATGTGGAGCACTCGGTTTACCAAGCTGACTGTTGTGTCTTACTCACGCTGTGTTCACGCCACCATGATCAAGGTCAACCCCCCGATTAGCACGGTTGGCTACGTACGGTGAGAAAGAAGTTCAAGATGCAGACAACATACATCTCTCTCTCTCTGCGTTTTCCCTTCACACTGCTCCACTTTGGAATTCCCTGCCACCGTCCGATATTTTCCCCAAGCCCTGAATCCACGGTGGCTATGAGATGTTAACTACCTCGCCTGGTATACAGGAGGTCGTGGGTTCGATCCCGACCCTGACGCCTGCCGTCTGTATATTTGGAGTTTGCGTGTTCTCCCCGTGGTCGCGTGGATTTTTCTCCAGGTCCACGGGGTTTTCCCTGAACGTTTAGAAACATGAGTTTTTGGCGGCTGCTATACATTTCCACCTGGTAAGCCAATTCGTTGAGCCATCATATGTGGCCACGTCGCTTTATTCTGGAGAAATCCGATGAGCTATGAAGCTCTTTTTTTTCTGTCACAGATGTCCAATGGGTTTGCGGGTCAAAACACGCGCTAACGCTTAGCTGTTACAACGTTAAAGAAAACAGCCCTGTTCGTCGCTGGCCTTTTGACGTTTCGAGCCCTTGGGGCGTGTGCTCAGAAACTGTGTCAGAATGAGTCGACGAATTTGTATCACCTCGTTAATTGTAGGGCCAATTGAACCTCATGGCGGGACCCTGGGGTCCCATAAGGCCACCACGGGCTCTCGCAAAAAAAAAAACTGCGTTGCGACCTCAGTTAATGTCTGTTGAAGGCGAACGGCACACGGCGATCTGTGCCTCTCGACGAGCTCGACCAAAAAGTTTCGAGGTTTTGTTTATGACCGCGGCAATGTTTGGCAACGGCAACCGGGTGCTCGGTGAAGGACGAGAGAGGATTGATTTGCCGGTGGGGGCCGCGGCGTTTATTATGCGCTCTGGGGAACGGAGTCGCCTTAAGGTTCAATTGTGGAAAACTCTCGCAGAGGACGGCGTTTGCGGCTCATGCTGCCGTGGCGAAAGGTCGCAACAGCTGCGACTTTCACGAGGGCCATCAGCGTGGCAGTGCGGGGAAAGAAGTCACGGGCATGGCCAATGTCCCGTGCCGGTGCCGGATGAAGCGAGTGCCGGGCCCGCAGCATATGACGATATAAAGGGGCCCTAAATATATGTTTAAAAACAAAACCACAAATATTAAAACACACATTTTTAGCTTGCACAGTGAAGTAAATTGTATGTTTTCATTTGCTATACAGCCACACGACAAATCGCTAACCTCAATCACCCGAACGGTTCGTAAAAGTTGAAGGCGGTATAGTACTATAGTGATAGAGCAAGTGCAGAATCACGGAACCGGAGTTGACGGCTTGAGAGCGTTTAGCGCGGGGGCCTTGAAAGTGCGGGGCCCGTAGCTACTACTACTACTACATGTGTAATAGTAGTAGTAGCTACTACTACATGTGTAGTAGCTACTACTACATGTGTAGCTACTACTACTACATGTGTAGCTACTACTACATATGTAGCTACTACTACTACATGTGTAGCTACTACTACTACTACATGTGTAGCTACTACTACATGTGTAGCTCCTACTACATATGTAGCTACTACTACTACTACATGTGTAGCTACTACTACATGTGTAGCTCCTACTACATATGTAGCTACTACTACTACTACATGTGTAGCTACTACTACATATGTAGCTACTACTACTACATGTGTAGCAGCTACTACATGTGTAGTAGCTACTACTACATGTGTAGCTACTACTACTACATGTGTAGCTACTACTACTACATGTGTAGCTACTACTACTACATGTGTAGTAGCTACTACTACATGTGTAGCTACTACTACTACATGTGTAGTAGCTACTACTACTACACGTGTAGTAGCTACTACATTTGTAGCCACTTTTGCGACTACGCTCATCCGGCACTGCTCCACGTACACAACCTTAACACACACACACAGGGAAATGTCGAAATGCGAGAAAGGGGTGGGGAATTGTAACGACGAATCGCTTAAATTTCGATTTAAAGCTTTCGTGAATTGCAGGGATTCATCTCCTTTGGTTCTTTCGGTGAAGGAACACCTGTGGAGGGCTACTTGTGTCGTGGCCGAAAACGTCGTGACAATTGTATTTTGTTACGTTTTATTATTTTTGTTTCCATAACTACGTGGTGACTTTACCGAAATAACCAAGATAGACGCTATCGTAATGTCGGGTCGCTCTGCACATCCACGTGTCGTTACCCGGCTCTCTCTCTCTCTGACCGACTTTCCGAGAAACGACGTGCCCCTCCTTCGGGGTGACGCGAATATAAATAAAGCCACCAAAAACGCCGCTCAGCGTTCAGCCCTCTCTCGCCCAGCTGAGCACGATAGGGCATCGTTAGCGCTGGGTGAGTCCGCCTTACTCGACCGCAAGACGACGGGCACCAATCATCATGCAAATAGACAAATTTAAGCATCTTGCTTTTTGAAAGTTTGTCCGCATTTACTGTACCGCGCTTCGAGCTCGAAGACTCGGGGGGGGGGGGGGTGGTGGGTGATGTGTTTCCGCGTAGTATTATTATTGTTTCATTGTTTAAGTTGTATGTACGTAGTGTATAATGTAGTGTATGTAATATTTGACACTGAAATCAAGCGTGGCGACATATGGTGCCGATCGTCGGACCGGGTTTCAGATTGGTAACAAATTGGCATTTGTTTCACGTGACAACCCTTTCCGCGTTGGCTGTAGCGGGTTGTAACGACGCGTGTGTACGTACGCAATCTCACCCCCTACAAATAAAAAACAACCCTCTATTATGGATCATATTGGTCTGCTGAAAGCCTACGTGTTAAACTGAGTCATTCTCGTCTCCACGACGTGTCACGTATAACCCATCCGACATCGTCATGATGGTTGGTTGCAGTTCCTACAGAAAGAAAGAGGAAGTGAGCACAATAAAAACCGTGTTGGTCACTAATCATACACAGCAGTCGTGCGCGTCATTGTGGGGAATGTAAGTAAACGCCTAACCATCATGTTATAAGGAACAGTATGCAGATTGGTGATTTAAATATACATTGCCTCCCCCCTCCTCCCCGATGTGTGATATTGCAGATAACAGGAAGATATTTCTTCCCAGCTCCTGTGTGTGGGTTACACACCCCGGTATGTGATACGACTCCTAACGCATCTGAATTGTGTGCGTGTGTGTGTGCGCGCGCCTCCTGTAACGTGAAATAAAAAGCATCGTAGGGGACTTTGCGAAATCATCTCTGCTGTCAACATTGCAGATGGCTTTGTTGTCTGTACCGTACAGTATTTCTATTCATGGACGCAGAAGTCGCAGCCAGTGAGTAAACGTTAGGGTTTGATGAACATTGACCCGTGAACCAAAGGTCCAGGAGCTGGTAATCCATTGAAGTGGAATGTCAGCCGAGATCTGCCGATTGAACCGTTCAATCGGCAGATCTCGGCTGAGGTTTTGGGGCAAAACTGGGAAACATTTTCCCCCCAATTTTCAGTTTTAATGTTTTTCATAAGCATATATATATTTTTTTAAACAGAGGAACGCTTTTGATTTAAAGCTTTCGTGACTGCACTTTTTTCAATTTTTCTTGCTGTGCAGGTTTTCACACCTGATGATGATTGCTTGTGTTGCAGTCGAAACGTCGTGAGAATTGTATTGTTTTATATTTTTATTATTTTAATGTTTCCCTTCTACGTGACTTTACCGAAAGAACCAATAATTTTTTGGGCTGTGAAGTAATAAGGATACATTCCATTATTGATCAGAGGCAGATTTTGCATGTTCAGCAGTACAGAATCAGAATATGTATTTGTCCTGGAGGAATCTGATGAGCTATTAAGCTCTTTTCACAGATCTCCAGTAGGGGCAGGTCAGAACGTTGCCAGGCTCTGTCACATCTGTGATGGGGTCCACCCCGTCCTTAATCAAATATAACAACCACTTTTGTCTTTCCAACAACAAATGCAATCTAAAAAAACGAAAATGTGAAGGTGGTGTGTAATGCTCAACATTATGTCATTATGTACTCTATAATAATACTTGTTAGGAATCACAAAAGTCAATACATTTGGGGTAAACTTTTAATAGTTAACAGCAATTAACAATATATTCTTAGCTCTTTCGGTAAAGTCACGTTGAAGGGAAACAATAAAATAATAAACTATATTAAAAAAAACAATAAAAATTCTCACGACGTTTCGACCATAACACAAACGGCCGTCATCAGGTGTGCCGGTTTGCATTAATTTATTTATTTAAATTTTTCGTCTCCCCCCTCCTCTTTTCAGAACATAGATGGACTAGTCCTTCTAAATAAATTGCCAAATCGCTGCGCGTGGCGCTGACGTTTTTTTTTATAAATAAAAAAATGCACCGTTTAAAAATAAATTAATTAATGCTAACCGACACACCTGATGACGACCGTTTGTGTTATGGTCGAAACGTCGTGAGAATTTTTATTGTTTTTATATATTTTATTATTTATATATATTATTATTTTATTGTTTCCCTTCAACGTGACTTTACCGAAAGAGCTAAGAATATGAATTACTGCAGTCACGAAAGCTTTAAATCAGTAATTAACAAACCAAATGTTTTGCAGTGAACTCCAACAATGGCGTCTGGCACCGATCATCTGGACGAACTTGATCAATTCTACAAAAAGAAAGTTGAATTTCCACCTAAACAGCTCGAAGGCCACATCAACACTGCTACTCGGGAGGTGGGGAAACTCCTGCAAGAGATGAAAAAATTTCAAAAACCAGGCTTGGAACCCGTCATTGCAGATAATATCATTCCCACCGGCAGCTCGTACGAAGGACTCAAAGTTCGGGGAGAAATGGAGCTGGATTTTATGATTCCTCTCTCTCACCCTGAATTCAACTTTGTCCCACTCTCACATGCTAGTGTACCAGGTGGCTATCGTCAATTAAAAGTCGAGCGACACAAACAATTGCAAAAGCCCCAGACCGTATCAACACCATCAAATCCATCATTTGAAAATGAATTCACCGAAGGCGGATTCCTGATCCCATCAAAGGTATATCATTGGTTTCAGTCATTAGCAGACAGAGCAATGAATAGCATACGAGATAAGGTTAGATTTCCTGTGAGGTTTACAGGCTACCAACCAGCCCGTAGGCTCGTCATAACTCTCAGCCCTGACAATGAAATCTACGTGGACCTGGTCCTTGCGGTCTTCATTGGGGATGGTCTCTACGTCGTGGCCAAGCCTTTGAAGATGGCCCCAGAACTGCTTCTCTGGAGGCTGTCGTTCTCGGTCTTCGAGAAAGACATCCTGAATCAGCTTCCGAGCTCTTCCTGCCACCTGAAGACCCTGAAGATCCTCAAGTACCTACGGGAGCACGACACTCGGCTGGAGGAGACGTCGCAGTTTGCGAGTGGGATCTGCTCGTACCACCTGAAGACGGCCTTCTTCCACCTGCTGACGCGCACGCACCCGACGCAGTGGGAGGACACCGCAAAGAACCTGCGTGCCCGCCTTGACGACCTCATGGAGCTCCTGATTAAGGGCATGGAGGAAGGGCAGCTCAACCACTTCTTCCTGGGAAATAAATCGAGCCTGGCAAAGAAGGTGGGCGCGCGGAGCATGAAGAGTGAGGCCGTTCTCAATCTCTTTGACGCAAAATTTATGAATGCAACCACCCTCAATCAGGCCAAGGGGAGACTCATCATCATTAAAAGCTCTCTGCCTGCCATACTCAAAAAATACTAATCCGTTTGTGTAGCTAAACTAAGGCCTACTGATCTATGTAGCTTTTTTTTGTCATAAGTGGCCTGGCCACAAATGATACCACTAAAGAAGTGGCTCATCATGTGCAAATTTATAGCAGCCAAATACTCTAAACGTATGTTGATTCTAAAAGCCAGAGGAACCAGAGAAAAGTCCACGCGACCACGGGGAGAACATGTGTAGTGACTTAACTCGGAGACACGAAGAGTTGGAAGCACTTCTTTTATTTAACCGAGCACCCTTGGCACAATACACAGCCTATGCTGGTGCACACTCTTCTGTCACTCGCTTATGCACAACTCTACGTGTGTCGCTAGCCTATACACAACGCTAGCCGTCTAACACTGACGGGGCTGAACCGAGACAGCCAACTAGCGTCTAGCAGCGCAATATCGACGGCGATGCAGGCGACGAGGCGACAGCGACGATGGCGGTGATCTTCAACAGCACGACGAGGATCCCACTCCAAACGACAGCCTCGAGCTCTTGCCCAGGGCCCCCCTTTTATGCTCCCAGCGTGGCCTCGCTCCGCCATGGCCACGGCCCTTCTCTAGAACCTACCAGCGGGTTCCTGGGCTTTCCCCACGTGCCCCTTCTGTAACCTTTCCCCCAGATATCCCCTCTGGTGTATCACGTGGCCTGCTGACGTCAGGGCTGCTGTAAGCCGCAGATGCCCTTCCCCGCCAGCAGCCAGCACTATGCTGCTACACTACTTATTCTATGCCACTACACATGTCAACTCCAAATATACGATTTCCTGTATACCAGGCGAGGTAGTATGTTGGAGAGTGGATTTACTCTCCAACGTACCGGTGGGCTGAAGTAGAAACTAATTTGCGTCTTGTTCACATGACAAATCCCTTACTAATTTGCTGTGTGTGGGTGGTGGAGGGTTACGGCACATTTATACTTACGCGATCTAACCCAAAAACCTTTATTGGGAGGGTCATTGTTGACGTCCATTGTTTCATCGACGCTATAGACATGGACTGAGATGCCTCACCAAGATTTGAACTCTTAGCTTCCCCTAAGTGGGAGTCGAGCACACTTGCTAAAGTGTTGCTTCCAATCGATAAAGCCTCAGAGGTCAATTACAATTTAGTTCATATTGCAGCATTGGGTGAACTAAATGGTGGGCCATAAGTAACTACCTGATTTACTCTTTGTTTTTTTCGGTAAAGTCACGTAGAAATAAGAATGAATATAAATTACATAATAGCATGCGGTGTTTCGATTGCAACACAAGCAATCATCATCAGGTAGAGGAAACACATAACCGCAGATATATATATACAGACCCTAAGTAGAGGGAATTAACACAGATACACCAGGGGATACAGAGAGGAAGGAGCACACTAAATCAAACAGGGTTTAGCAAAATTTGGAAACTATGTAAAGCAACACGGTCGGTTAAAACACAATTAACGCATGGTCTGGTTGATTATGCGATTTCAAAGATTGCTAAATTGTAAGTTAAGTGTGAAATTTAAGAGTGATAGAATACAGACCGCAAAGAGACATATGGGGAGACACTTAGGGTCTGTATATATATCTGCGGTTATGTGTTTCCTCTACCTGATGATGATTGCTTGTGTTGCAATCGAAACGCCGTATGCTATTATATAATTTATATTCTTTCTTATTTCTACGTGACTTCACCGAAAAAAACAAAGAGTAATTCCTCCAGTCACGAAAGCGCCGAATCGAGTTCAACTGCCTGATTTGTTTTGCCTTTAGCTTTTGAAAAATGTGATGAAAACACAAACTCCGAATAATGGGAAATTATTTAAAACGTGGAGATTTTATATAATTACGCGTGGAAAAGATTGTAAACGACCGTTGCCATATCCGTGCTCTTTCACCGGCATGTTCCGTCACTCTCCTCAAAACTTGTGGCGAAGTCGGAGATCGACCCAGTTCGAGGTCTGCCAACAACGCTTTGCGTCCGCCGTTGTTTCTGATTCCCGAAATCGGGACATCAACGCCCGATAACGGTGCGGAGTTGGGAGCTGTTCGGATCTTAAAATATCTGCGATAGTCTCTCCGTGTTGAAATAATTTAAAAGAAAATTCTGAAAATAAATTTCAACTGTTATTGCACGCTGCTGAGGTGTATAATCGATGCCTCATAAACTCCCAGGCTTCTACTTTATTTCTGCAAAAATAAAGTTTAACACAAAATACTGCTATTTCAAATCAGGAAGTTACTCATGGACAACCCGATAGAAATAACTTGAATATTTGGTTAAATAAATACGTGAGAATAACCATGTTTAGCATTGGGTTAGCAATTGATTTTGGGATTGGGTGTTTGCTTACAGAAATAAAAACGTTATTCCAAATTGATTGCCTCTGCTATTTATTAAATGAACGTGTTTAACGCTTCGTCACGGTTTTACCCCCAACAACAGTACCTCGCCAGATTATAGTTATTTTGTATTTTAATTTCATTAATAGTTTAAGTGCATGGGACTCTTAACTTACATTTGTCATGACAGTGGAGTCGACATGTGGTGTGAGTGTGAAGGGACTAGTGGCCAAGGGAGGTAATGACAGGGGAGTCAGCTGTGAGTGTGAAGGAACTGGTGGCCACGGGAGGTAATGACAGGGGTATCAGTTGTGAGTGTGAAGGGACTAGTGGCCACGGGAGGTAATGACAGGGGAGTCAGCTGTGAGTGTGAAGGGACTGGTGGCCACGGGAGGTAATGACAGGGGTATCAGTTGTGAGTGTGAAGAGACTAGTGGCCACGGGAGGTAATGACAGGGGAGTCAGCTGTGAGTGTGAAGGGACTGGTGGCCACGGGAGGTAATGACAGGGGGTATCAGTTGTGAGTGCGAAGGGACTGGTGGCCACGGGAGGTAATGACAGGGGTATCAGTTGTGAGTGTGAAGGGACTAGTGGCCACGGGAGGTAATGACAGGGGAGTTAGTTGTGAGTGTGAAGGGACTGGTGGCCACGGGAGGTATGGACAGGGGAGTCAGGCTACAGTGTGAATGCACTAGTGGCCACGGGAGGTAATGCCAGGGGTATCAGTTGTGAGTGTGAAGGGACTGGTGGCCACGGGAGGTAATGACAGGGGAGTCAGCTGTGAGTGCGAAGGGACTGGTAGCCACGGGAGGTAATGGCAGGGGTATCAGTTGTGAGTGTGAAGAGACTGGTGGCCACGGGAGGTAATGACAGGGGTATCAGTTGTGAGTTCGAAGGGACTGGTGGCCACGGGAGGTAGTGACAGGTGTATCAGTTGTGAGTGTGAAGGGACTGGTGGCCACGGGAGGTAATGACGGGGTATCAGTTGTGAGTGCGAAGGGACTGGTGGCCACGGGAGGTAATGACAGGGGAGTCAGTTGTGAGTGTGAAGGGACTGGTGACCACAGGAGGTAATGACGGGGTATCAGTTGTGAGTGCGAAGGGACTGGTGGCTACGGGAGGTAATGACAGGGGAGTCAGTTGTGAGTGTGAAGGGACTGGTGGCCACGGGAGGTAATGATGGGGGTATCAGTTGTGAGTGCGAAGGGACTGGTGGCTACGGGAATGTTCGAGAAGGGAGCGTGGTCAGGCGACGGGAGAGGACGGTGGAGTCTGCCGGTGGAGCGAAGGGTGGCGTGGCCTCGTGTCGGTATATAAGGGGGAGATGCGCGGGAGACTCGGGGCTGTTGCAGTGGGGGGTTTCTGTCTGATGTCAAGCGAACGTGTCTTCAATAAACAGCCATCTCAAGAAAAGTTTGTCAAGTCTTTACACATTTGATGATAAAAAAAAATAGATGTTAATGTGGCCTCGTAATCTAGCACTGAACAATAGATATGTGCCAAGGTCGGTCTGGGATATCAGCTCTGGAGGACTTCCCAATTAGACACAGACTAAATGTCCTGTGAAAGGAGTTTGAAAGCGTGAACGCATTGCCGTGCCCGCCTGCGCATGTGCTTCATGATGCGATGCGAATTAAACGTCCGCGTGCAAGCTGCGTTGCCATTTACATCACTAGACCTCCTTTGCCAGTACCAAAATGTAATAATAGGGTTTCCCCCTTTTTTCTACAAACAAAACTGAAACCTTTTTACAAGGATTCATATCTGCATTAACCACAATACCTGCAGTCAAAATGCAAACAAAAAACATACTATGATAATATATGCATTGTCCTTGAAACTGATTGGTCCACACCAAGGGACGGCTTTCTTTTGAGCCTCGACCCAATTGGTGCTCGACCAGATGACGTCAAAAGGCGTCACACAGCTCAAAGACAATGCACTATCAAAGTTATGAGGGCTCGGGGTGAGCATCTACATCATTAGACCTCCTTTGCCAGTACCAAAATGTAATAATAGGGTTTTTCCCCTTTTTTCTAGCAACAAAACTGAAACCTTTTTACGAGGATTCACGTGAAAAGGTTTCAGTTTTGTTGCCAGAAAAAAGGGGGAAAACCCCCTGTTATTGCGTTGCCATTGTTAGAGACTTCGCACTCGACCCAAAACCTGGAGAGAAAGACAAAGCGAAAAGCAGCGCTACAAAGGGTTTTAACTTGGTGACCGAAGTGCATTCAGCGTACACCACCCACTCTCGTCGCCGGATAAGAAGTTGCGTGCGACTGCATCCCACGACGTCACGCGTCACGCACCACGAGGAGGTAATATTCCGGCGAGGGCTTTACCATTCTGGCGAATTGCTTGATGATGCTGGATGTATTTACCAGCGAAACGTCGTACTCAAACTGTAAATGTGGATTAACTCTTCAACACACCGGTGGGCTGAAGTAGTGAATTATTTGTCTTTTGTCAACGTGACACTTTTTTTACTGTTTGGCCGTGTCGGGTGGTGGAGGGTTACGACACATTTATAAATAAACGCGATCTAACCCAAAAACCTTTATTATGAGTAATAGGATGTTCAAGCACCAAATTGACACGGTTTTTTTTGCCACGGCACCAAGTCTGCACTAACCGCACGTAATTTTTGTTAGGGGCCGTCCATAAATGACGTCACGCGATTTGGGACGATTTTTGCCCCCCCCTCCCCCCTCCCCTTCGTCACACGGCGTCACAAAAAGTCAGACCCCCCCCCCTCAAATATGACGTCACAAAGCTCTGCCCCCCCCCACCTCAAAATATAAAACATGCTTCAAATCGCTTTAAACTATTGTCATTGTAGTAGTGTGTATTCAATGTGTCGCTGCACTCTGATGTTGTAGGAGAAAACACTTATTTGAAAAGTATATTTAATTAAGTTTTATATATTTTTTTAATTTTATTGTTTCCCTTCTACGTGACTTTACCGAAAGAACCAAGAATATAAGTAGAACGTGTTGTCTATATTTATTAAAAGTTGCGCATTTGGATGTGACGTCACATTTCTCACCCCCCCCCCTTTCGTCACACATCGTCACAAATGTCTGACCGCCCCCCCCCCAGAGTGCGTGACGTCATTTATGGACGTCCTTTTAGAACTGCTTGTTCTATCCTCCACAACAGCTGAGCACCAGGGTGCGGTGATTGTTAAACGGCAAAGACTTGACTTCAAAGTGTTCCTCATATGAATACTTTGTGGTTCTGCGTGTTCCTCAGAAAGGCACACCTGTCAACCCATACGGTTTACCCCGTATACTTGTACATGCGAATTGAGTTTTCAGGTCCATTTTTTGTTTTTAATCTATTTGTGTTTCTCCATAAGGGTGATGGGACTTTGTAGGATGAACGTTGAGATTTATAAGGGGCACGGGGTGAGCAATAAGGTCTGAATTGGTCTGTAATAAGGTAGGGCACTGATACGGGATTTACAGGTATGTAGTGGTGAGTGTACTAGTGATGAGTATAGTGATGAGTGTACTAGTGGTGAGTGTACTACTGGTGAGTGTACTAGTGGTGAGTGTACTAGTGATGAGTGTACTAGTATT